AGTGATGTCAAGGATAGAGAAATCAACTGCAATTCATGCACAGTAAGTTCCAGTTCTGGGAATGCTGCATTTTGGGATTAACTGGGAACTATTTTTGCTGAACGACTGCCTACCAGCACTGGACTGGTGCTCTCTTTATAGGCTGCCAGTATCGCTGAAAGTGGCGTGCTGGCAAAAAACAATGGCGGGTAAACAGACAGGTGGGTAATGTAGACTGTGCCCTTCTGGCCACCAGCGACCTGCAGCCAAAGTCCTGCTGGCCCATACAGCTCCAGCTCCGCATACAGTAGTGCCCCTGGCAGTAGGTATCTCCACAACAAATTCCTTTCCAGTTCTTCAGCAAAATACCCGCTTCTCCTTCAGGCACACAGCGCTAGAGTTACTTCAATTTATTCAATATGCTGTCCACTCTCCTAGATTGCTTTTGCACTGTATTGCCTAAGCCTGGGATCCCTCTGCAGACTTAGAGTTAGCCATTAGAGTTAGACCAGCCTCCCAGCCCTGCTTTACACCTGCTCCTTTAGACCAGACGCCCATGTGGGGATCACATGAAAATGACTAAATGAGAAACTCCTCACCCTTCTTTGGACACACAAAATCGGATTTTTGATCCGAAAAGGCCCAGGGGGAGGACACCTCCTGGACCACTTCAGTGCGTGAGAAGTCCTGATCCAGGCTCTTGGGAGCAGACGACGGGCCAGACCTGCCAGCCAAGCTTCCCAAAGCTTTCGGTCCCAGGGGGGCGTCACAGGAATCCACTGCACTGTTGTGCCACGTCTGCATTTCAAGCACCAATCACACATCCCCCCCATCCCGAGAAGGCAGCCCACAGGAAACTGAGACAGCGACAGAGCTGTTTTCGTGCATCCCAGCGGGTCAGTGTCGCAGCTTCTCTGTCTCTTACCTTCAGCAAAGCGTTTGGTCTGCCAGCGAGAACCCTCATTTGGGGTTCAAATGCGGGAAAAAGGAGGCTTGATATGGTATTTGCTACATACAAGGTTATTTTCCAGCTGTCTTCATTTTCAGTGCCCTCCTCCTTTGCCATTCTCACTGTCACAAGGATCAATAGATAGTAACAACATTACACAGGCAGGGTGGAGTGTTAGCCTTGCAATAACTTCTAGAGACACGGACATGCGGTTTATTAATTTCTCGTGTATCTTTGACTGGCCCTTTTCCCCTTCGCCCTCTTACCTGCCTTCCAGGGCCGCACGCTAAGACTGCACGGCGCTGAGAGGCTATAATGCACATCTTCCTTTTACTTAGAGCAAGTGGTCAAGAAAAAGTTTCCTGTTCCTTCAAATATAAAATCACCTTTGCTAGATATTACACTAACTTGTACAAGGTCTGGGAACGATGAAACTTGCTCCCTGGTTTGTGAGACAGGTATGTATGTAATAAAATTCCTGCTCAA